GGTTGGTAATTCAGATCCAATTACCAAAGCGAATTACGAAAAATCGCTGCCGTCTCTAATTTTTATCGGAAATTTATCGAGACCAATTCACACAAAAAAACTGACACATTTTCTGAGTATGAAAAGTAAAGTTTACACATGTGGCCATATCACCAATTTAATACGGAAAATTATAAATTTTTAGCAATAACTTACATTTTGCATCAATTTTGTAGCGATGAAAAAAAAACACAATGACGAAGAACTGTCAACTCGAATTAAGAATGTTCCGTGGGAATGGGGTAACTCGCGATCGAAATGGGGAAGCGAACAAAGTAATTCAGGGTGCCGAAGAAAACCGTATATAAGTGTTTTTTGTGAGGAATTGAATTTCTTACATATTACTCTTTTTGTCCCCTCCAATAATTATGTTATTTTTGTTGAATATCTTATGACCACTTTTTCAGTGCACGGCCCGATCTGGCTGGTTTAAACTAAGATCAGCCAATCAAATCTCAGCCAGCTGTTCAATTTAAACTCAGTTTACTTAATCTAAGTTTAAACTGGCATTGAAAAACTGGCCCTAAGTATTTTAAATTAAATTAAGTCTTTGGTTTATCTCTAGCGCGTCGAAATTTTTTGATTGGTGACAAGTATATTTTAGAATACTTAGAGATTTAAAAAAACCAACAGTGTTAGTTAAAAACCCATAAAGAGACTAAGTAAATTAGAAAAACGTATGTAATTTCGAAGTTAACGCTAGTAATGCGAGTTAACGCTAAGAAAATAACTTGTATCAATTTTCTTAGCGTTAACTTCGAAATTACACACATTTTCTGATTTACTTTTGTCCTTTAGGTAGGAAATTAATTTCTTTGTAAAATGAGCAACTTATACTTTTTCTCTCCTACACACTATAAACTTTGTGCAAAAATTATAAAAATTCAAAAAATTGTCAACAAAATTTTACACTTTTTTTAAGAGACTTTGGAAAAATTTTGTGTTTGCAGCTTTATAGCCCATTCAATTTTAGTATAGTATATATGGCTACGAAATTCCGTTAATTTTTGGCATTTTTTTTTTTTTTTTATGTTGACGGTGTCACTTACAAAGTATGTTCGTAAATTTTTTTATATGAAAGAAAATGAGCAACACCGTCAACAAAAAAAAAATGCTAAAAATCAACGGTATTTTGTAGCCATATAGAACTTGCACTTTATTATACTAAACTTGAATGGGCTAAAAAACTGCACACGCACAATTTTTCCAAAAACTCTTTCAAAAAAGTGCAAAATTTTGTATGGTGTTTGTTATAGAATGAAGCACATTTTTATAAGAAAATAATTGAAAGTAAATAATATAAAAATAAATAGTCAAAACTTGTTAATATGTGGCGGTCTTCTAATTATGCAACGCAGTGTACCTAATTTGGTATAGAAACCTTTTTTGTAGAGAACTAAATTTGTGATCGAAGTAACCTAAGAAACATTTTGATTAACTGGGTGGGGCCAAGATATTGATCGAAAATTTTCATCTTTCTCACAGTTTTTTTTTTTAGATCATAATGAACCATGTTTTTGCTATTAGAAATAAAAAGTAGAAAAAATCGTATTTTCAGCACACCCTAGTGTGCATTTAAATGTGGACAAAGAGCGCTAACGAAATGTGGGCATGCGACTGCCTCTCCTACTATGTAGGCACGAACTGAACCTAGATTATGTGACCTATTAGACTGAGTACAGCTCTCACTTACTGTTGTAGTGTGTATGTGCGCTTGAATATGTAAGCGATTTTTAGTTTTATTGGAGTAAGTACTTACATAAATATGTAGGTGTATATATTTGTTTTCTGTTTATTTCCACATTTATGCTTACTTTCTCTTTATGGATTGCAAAAAAAAACAGGAAAAAATGGTACTTTGCAAATTTAAAATAGCTAAAAATTTATTGACAAATACAGTAAAACATTGGATTTGTATACTCGATGGCTTACAAATCGACATACTTTTTTTTTGTCCTGAAAGGGTATTTGTGGGCCTAGGTTTTTTTTAGGGGAATCCAAACGCTCCGTAATTTAGTAACTATAATGTTAAGTTTGTGAAGCAGACACAGGACAATGCTTTATGCCAATTTTTGGCTGCAATGTCAGTTACGCGATTTTGCAGAATGACGATACGCGGTTTTTCATTTTAAACGACAATGTGTTTAAAGCAATTATTCTTCCTTTCATAAATGAATGTATTAAACACTTAATTGCTTTAGCGGTTGAAATTGTATATACGTACATACCTACAATTGTATACATTTTTTGTTTAAAGCTATGTGGGTTTATTCTTATATGGAAATAACTGTGATTGCCTTTCTTACCTGTCACGAAAATAATGATAAACAAATTTTGTGTTGTGTAGAAAAATAAAGATCGATTTCTTTTTACATACATACACGCTAGCACATTTCTTTAGACAAAATTAATTTACATATGTACATGTTTTGACAAACAATTTAGATATCTACATATTTAATGTGAGAGCATCAGCAAAAAGAAAAGCCGACAAAAATATTACTTGACAGTTTGTATGCCGCAATGTCACTTTATTTAAATTGAAAGTATGAGCAAGGTTTTTATAACATTTAACACGCGTTTATTCTCAGTTCGCGATTTTACAGAGAATTGTATATATATACATACATATGTTTGTGTCTAGGTACATACATGCATATATACATGCAAAAAAATATTTCATCTACAAATATAGTCAAAAGTCGTTTGCAATTATCGCTAATGACTTTTCGCTAGTTGGGTTGGAGGTCCCCTTTGAGGTGAGTGAAAGCCGTTTAATTGATTTTCATACCTTCTTTACTTCCGTGAATTTGTTTTTTTTTTTTATTGGTGTTAATTTTAAATATACTTATGTGTCATATACAGTATCGGTCATATAATTAGCACCCTAATTTCAAAGTGATATTAGAGGTTTTTTTTTTACAAGTATACGTACCTGCGCTTAAAATTTGTATGAATGTTCAGACCCTTGTGGTCAGCGTTGATTTTACAACGCTTTTTTTAATAATTTTTTTTGGCTGACGGTGTTGTGCATTTTCTTCCATATAACGGGATTATAAAATTTGCTATACATATTTTAAGACTCCTTTCGAAAAAAATATCATGACTTACGTGAGCTGGCTCTATGCATTTAAAAATTCCTCCAATCGAGCTTTTTATAAATGAAATTAGGATATTTTTCTAAAAAATCAGAGTTTAAGCTTAAAACGTCTGCATAAAAATGTTAAAAAAAATTTAAGTAAACGGAATGAAAATATGTAATGAGATTTTCAGAGGAATTTTTGAATCGTTCTGACGCACGTAAGTCTTGAAATTATTCCGAAATAATCGGGCAGGTTCTGCAGGTCGCTTCCGAGTGAATTTCACCAAGTCTCTTTGGATTCAAATTGAATTTGGCTGAAATTCACTAGCAAGTGAATTGCAGAACCTGCCTGTATATTAATTATTTTTCGAGCTCAAGGCCACATGAAAATCAAATACAAATTTTTAGATTTTGATTTTTATTTATTTTCCGCATTGACATTNATGAAAATCAAATACAAATTTTTAGATTTTGATTTTTATTTATTTTCCGCTATTTCGACTTCAGTCTGAAGTCATCCTCAAAAACATTTGACTATTTTTGATCAACTACCGAAACATTTTGGCCGAAGTTTTAAAATAGTTATAAATATATTTTATAATTCCAGTAGAAAAATAGCAAGTTTTTTTTTTGGTGATGCGCCCCAATGTACTAACCGCAACTTTTTTTTGCTTATCATTAAAGAAGTAGCGGTTTTTCCATCAGAATTATAGTGGACCGATTTGAAAGTACCTCATTTTGATATTTTTTATAAAATTTTTAAACATTTTTATGCTTACCTTTTAAACTTATCACCCGATATGATATTTTGTTAAACTATTTTTGAAAGCTGATTTTACTTTTAACAGATCTAGATTTTTGAGTGGCTCAAATTTACCAGTTCACGTAAGTCCTAATATTTTTTCGAAATATGTTGGCGGAAATCTGAAAATGTAATAAATTTTACAATTCCGATGGAAAAATTTACCTTTTTTTGTGTAGAGAGTGATGCAGCCTAATGTGCATGCATTCATATTATTAAATATGGCTTGCTATGTATTCGCTTTAGAAACGAAGATCTTTTTCGGATACCCATTATATATAAAATGAATTAAAAATTAATGCCATGAGATTAACTCATAATAAATTCAGCACCTATGTATGTACATAAATATCCCAATTTGCCAAACGATTTCGTAACGACGTCGTTTCCTACGATCGCCAACAACTCGCCGGCGAACTCGCCGTCGGATGAAAAGCACAGTTCGGCGGCGGGCCGCGAAAAACGATGCTCAAAATCTTTAACAAAAACCATACAAATCCAATTTTAAATTTTGTGCAATATGTAAAAAGCAAGCATTCTTAAAAATTTCAAACTTTTCAAACTGGATTAAATGAAAAAGTAACGGGTGATTTTTTTGAGGTTAGGATTTTCATGCATTAGTATTTGACAGATCACGTGGGATTTCAGACATGGTGTCAAAGAGAAAGATGCTCAGTATGCTTTGACATTTCATCATGAATAGACTTACTAACGAGCAACGCTTGCAAATCATTGAATTTTATTACCAAAATCAGTGTTCGGTTCGAAATGTGTTTCGCAAACCCAATTGCTGCGAACGGCGACGAATCATGAAAATCCTAACCTCAAAAAAATCACCCGTTATGAAGCACTTTTATATCTCATTAAATTTAGTGCAATAGAGTACAAATTTCGTATTGCACAAATTAATTCGATTTGAATTCAATTCGATTTCACCCAATCGACTTCACCAGATCGATATCGATTCGAACTCGTCCTCGCTCTGTGGCAAATTGGGATGTTATCACTTTTACACTTTGATTGTGTGACCAATTTGAAAGTCTCATTTTATTTTTTCTCCCTCTCTCTCTCTTGCAGATAAATTTACGTTTAATACTCGTTAGTGGCAAAACAAAAGAATTCCTATTTAATCCATCAGATTCTGCTGGTGATATCGCACAAACAGTATTCGATAATTGGCCTGAAGGTAAGTGAAACTGCAGACAGAAGTGTGTAATTAAACATTTAATCAAAATGTTTTGGTTACATTATTGATAATCCTTATTATTAAATTAAATGTAGGTGTTAGAAGGGTATTTCATTTTCCAACAATAAATTTAAATTTAAGGTCAAGTCAGTGTTGCCGTTTCGGTCCAATTGAACCAAAATTGGTAATTTCATTTCTTAAAATAATACTTTGGTAGGTTGGTTGATTTCTTGTGATTTTCAAGGAGTTTGTGTAGACAAATCACATAATTTATTCATTTTATAAAACTTCAAGTATCTCTGTTTTCGGGAGTACATGTAAAGGGTGATGTGAAAAGGAAAAGAGAAATGGCACATGCCAAAATTATTATGAACCAAAGTTGAATGTTGCACTTATTAGACTGTCCTCTTATCCATACAGATTGTTTAAGTTAGAAGAAAATAATTAAACAATTGCTAAGAAAATCCCAAATTTTACAATTCGCTAAAGCGAGTGAGTGAGAAGGGAGAGTATTTGTATTTTCTCTCCCTCTTCTCCCCTAAGAAAATAATAGTTGCCAGCTATTAGTTTGTGTAGCAAAAGTAAAAACATGTAATTTGCAAAGTTTGACTTTGAGTTCGCGCTTTTTTCTTCATATACTACTTCTACTTACATATCTGTGGACTTTTGACAAAACAACTTCGCTCGAGTGAGGTCATTTTCTCTTCAAAGCAATAATTTATTGGATTAACGAATGATATTTTTTGTTTAGTTATTAATAGGAGTAGTTCAAGATGATGTCTTAATGAAAGTTAATATTTCAAACTTTAGGCACAAATTATAAAAATTCTAAAAAAATTGCTTCTATTTATTATATTTAAATTTTGTTAACCAGATTCTTTTTGAGTACTTATGCGTTAAATTTTAACATAAAAAAGTGTAAGTTTTAAGTTGCTAAAAAATCGCTTAGATGTTTGGTAATATTGGGCTCCATTACTATTAAAGCTTAAACAGACGGCAGCGTTGATCCGGATTAACTCGGACTTAATCCGAATCCACTGCAGTTAATTCCCGAGTTGATCCGGATCACCGCTGCCGTCTGTTTATGCTTTTAGACGTGTACTGCTGAGAGTATTCGGTAATAGAAAAAAATTTAGAGAATTGATAGTAATTTTTAATTTTTTTAATTTAAAGTATATCAGAGAAAAACTTTTGCCTTTAAAGCGAACCCTCTATGTTTATATATTTAAGTGCATTTATTTATTCTGCTGAGTATGAACACCGCCCATTACTCAATCGGTTATTGTTATGCTAGGAACGGAAATAATTCCCATTTCTCTTTCCCATCAACCATCTGTGCCACGCAATTACTCATTGAATGAACGTCCTAGAGCCAACAAAAACCAACTCGCGCAATTATTTATAATCTTAACACAAATTAATTGTCGCACTCTGCTGGCGACCTTCTTTATTGACCAGCACACACACACACTAAATTTATGTATGTATGTATGTACATATGTATTTTTAACTTGAGAATGATTGTCTGCAGCAGACTTCATTCTATCCTCCAACTCTGACTTATTCTAGCTTTGTAGCAGTAAGAACGTAGTATGTACATACATATTGTTTAATACACAATCTACGATTGATTGCTGTGGGACATGGTGGACTTGGTATGACAGCAATAACAATGCAGAAATTGCATCAGTTGCCACAATGGCTAAGGTCAAAATAGAGCACAAATGCGTAAAAGGCAATAATGCAATGCGAGCAGAGCTCAGTCGGTCATCTTCGTTTGTGGAGTTGGATCGTCGCCGACGTCGAGGTAGGCGTGATAAAATGACGCTGGACAGTGTTGTAGCATTAAATTCAATTAGCATGCAGAACATGAGGCAAGAAAATGTGCAATGTTGCAGCATTCGGGGCGAACATGACAAGAATTAATGAGGATGTGATGAAATGTAGGCAATAAGTAGTGTAAAGCTTATTGTAGTTGAGTTTAAGGTCTTCAATTGTCGGGCAGAAGAAAAGAATAGAGAACTAAAATGACACTGAAGATGGCACATCGCTCAAAACCGGTTTGTCTACAAACCATATTTGACAAGGGATAATGGAAACTAGTTCCAACTTTGGTTTTTGAATAGAGGTTGGAAATCCTTAGTATTGCATATAAGGGTCAATCGACGATTTTGTTCGAAATACTGAATTCCTTAATGAACCAACTGATTGAACTTTATCATTATAGCCCGGAAAATCCACCATTCGCCAGATAACCAGAGTTCGTAAAATCCTGAAAAGCAAATCACACAAACTAACTGTTCATCAGTTTTAAAACAGGGACGAAGTTAAACTACTTCTTTAAAAATATTTTTGAACTTGGGATCCCTGCAAAACGTTTAGCTCCCTTTGAGACCTAACGAGGGTTTATAGAAGGCCTCTCACTTTAGACCGATTCCCTGGATCTAATGCTGAGTCACAACGTTTGTACATACTATCAAACCCAAAGAGACTGCGCATATTTGGTCACACGTCGCTATTGGCAGTAACAATTTTGAAGTAGAGAAGGACGTTGTCTACCAAGCATCCAGCATTGACATCAACAATAATGTCAGCCTAGTTATCTATGTAATGTACTATAATGCAAATTTAATGGGTGCAACAGAGACAAGGGACACCGCGATCTAGAAGATCTTTTGTATACCTGTGATAGTTCCTGATACTGACGGCCAAAGCCGAAAGTCGGCAACCCGTCTCTGCAGATAGGTCAAACCCGTGCATGTGAAGGCGTATGTGGTTATGACCGGTTATGTAACCAATAAGTAACCTGACGGTGGCTCCATTCAAAAGGTGTGTCGAGGAGGACCGACTGGCGTCGTCCTGGCGGAAAAAAGTTCTTATGGCCACTTGGCTTTTGGAAAAGATTGGTAGAAAGGCATCCTTCAAATCCTTGTCAAGGTTCAAGACACAAATTGAGATTGCCGGTACCTCGGCCTGAAAGAACATAGATAGACAAGATGACCATTGCAATTAGAAAGCTTAGTGCCAGATCCGAAGACACCCGAACCTGATTTGCCCTCCATCTTTGTTCAGGCTGTGTATCAATACAAATATCTGCGATTCAATTCAGATCTGGAATTTTGAGCTGAAATTTTCTTCCAAATTTTGGCCCAAAATACTAAAGAAAATTTGCATTTTGGATTTTTGCCCCCAGACGATCGGACAGACTATTGTGCGGTATAGACTTTCTGTTAATTTGGAGTTGACTCCATGCTCTACCAAAAAAAAAAAAATCGACAGTCCCACATATCCCGAGTGGCTTTAATAAGGGTTTTGTCTAGATCAATCAATCTAGGAATCAATAAATCATAATAATCTTAAAGTCTCAAAATTTGTCTAAGTAATCTAATTAAAAAGCATGAAAGAGTATTGATTTTTTTTTTAATATTGCACAAAGTTTGAAGTTAAGATTTAGATGATTTTTGCTAAAGAATAAACTATATTTTTATCAAATAATAAATTAAATGTATGTATGTATATACAAATTTTCAACAAACTGAATTTAATTGAAGTTGATTGAGTCACATAAAAAATTATGCTATAAATACCTCATAAAGCTAGTGTATGTGCATACGAAGACTACTCGTAACCATGTGGACTCGGATTAGTCTCCACGGGTTACAATTGAGTGTTAAATAGTCTCCTCCTCACATTCCAACGGCTAAAATTGGAAATGAATTCATCTCGTACGCAGCTAGTAAAGAAACAATTCGTCATTTCTTAGGGCATGCCTAATGTGACCAACTATTTCATAGCTCAAAGAAGTACAGAAAATGAAAACCAAAAATAGTATGAAAGTAATGAGAAAATGGTAAAAGCAGAATATGCAAAAACGACGGTAACAGTGTACCAATTCAAGAAATTTATTTTATTAATTAAAAATCTATACTATTTATTATTCCAAGATAAGGTGATCATTCCCAGCGATCTACTAATCGTACAGAGACAAGTCATGTATCAAATTAAAGTGCTCGATTTGCATGGAAATTTTTTTATGTAAAGTTTTACATTAAACAAAGCGTTTCATTTCCATAGGCAGCGACTGCGGAGCGCTCTGAATATGTATGAAAAAGGACGCCCACAGCAACACCATGAATAGGTGTTTTCGGAGCGCTTCGAATATAGAGTGAGAAGGGAGTCAAAGTGTTTTTTGTATCTTCTTTTTTTGTGGTTCCAACCTAAAAGGAACGTATTTTAAACAAGTTATATATTTTTCTTGGATTTACTTCAAGATTTTTGCGTTTTTATCTGTTTTTTACTGAATAATATGTAAATCATTTTTAAATTTAGCGTTTTTTTCAGTAAATAGAAATGATGAAAACACTTTCATACTTATTAATTATTAATTATAAACCAAATCCGCTGGTACGCTGGGAACAATATCTTTGAGCAATTTAGTATATTTGTTTTAAATTTTACACATGTATGAACTTATAGGATTTTAAAATGCTCAAAATAAAAAAAAAATCATTGCCGACGAACTGCTTTAAGTAAATGTGAGATATTTCAAATTTCTTTTGCGAGTTAGAGAAGGTCGAGAACTCTCCCCAGACTCAAAAATTAAGATAAGTACAATAAGAGTCTATTTTGCGAGATGTAAGTTGTAAATATTAAAAATTAAATTTTGAAAAAAAAAGTTGGTGCGCACATTTTTCTTTGTAAATTTTGTTTGCTTCTCGAAGTATTGGTCCATCATGTGGAAGACCTAGTAACACTATGCGACAGTCAAAATCGGGATGGGATGAAACCAACGGGAAATGTTATATCGGTCAAAAACAAGTTATACGTGGCCCGGCGTTTCGCTGGGTCACGTCTAGGAATCGAGATATATCGATTTGAAGTTAGTAACTATCATATAGGGGAAATTGTCTTGTCAAAATGAGATACCTTCACTTAATTGTGAATAAAAGCGAAACGCGTCCATCGATTTTCATGGTCTATGTCTCATTTTGCTTAAAGGT